AGAGACACTGAGAACCTGGGTTCGAGTCCTGGGTCTAGGTCTCTCTCTCTCTCAGGGGGTTCACAATGGCCGTGTCAGAGACAGTGAAATCCTGGGTTCGAGCCCTGGGTCTGGGTGTCTCTCTCTATCTCAGGGGGTTCACAATGGCCGTGTCGGAGACACTGTGAACCTGGGTTCGAGCCCTGGGTCTGGGTGTCTCTCTCTCTCTCAGTGGGTTCATAGTGGCCGTGTCAGAGACACTGAGAACCTGGGTTCAAGCCCTGGGTCTGGGTGTCTCTGTGGGTTCACGATGGCCGTGTCGGAGACACTGAGAGTCTGGGTTCAAGCCCTGGGTCTGGGTGTCTCTCTCTCTCTCAGGGGGTTCACGATGGCCGTGTCAGAGACAGTGAAATCCTGGGTTCGAGTCCTGGGTCTGGGTGTCTCTCTCTATCTCAGGGGGTTCACAATGGCCGTGTCGGAGACACTGTGAACCTGGGTTCGAGCCCTGGGTCTGGGTGTCTCTCTCTCTCTCAGTGGGTTCATAGTGGCCGTGTCAGAGACACTGAGAACCTGGGTTCAAGCCCTGGGTCTGGGTGTCTCTGTGGGTTCACGATGGCCGTGTCGGAGACACTGAGAGTCTGGGTTCAAGCCCTGGGTCTGGGTGTCTCTCTCTCTCTCAGGGGGTTCACGATGGCCGTGTCAGAGACAGTGAAATCCTGGGTTCGAGTCCTGGGTCTGGGTGTCTCTCTCTCTCAGGGGGTTCATAGTGGCCGTGTCGGAGACACTGAGAACCTGGGTTCGAGCCCTGGGTCTGGGTGTCTCTCTGTGTCTCTGAATTGCTTCACGATGGCCGTGTCGGAGACACTGAGAGTCTGGGTTCGAGCCCTGGGTCTGGGTGTCTCTCTCTCTCTCAGGGGGGTTAACGATGGCCATGTCAGAGACACTGAGAGTCTGAGTTCGAGTCCTGGGTCTGGGTGTCTCTCTCTCTCAGGGGGTTCATAGTGGCCGTGTCGGAGACACTGAGAACCTGGGTTCGAGCCCTGGGTCTGGGTGTCTCTCTGTGTCTCTGAATTGCTTCACGATGGCCGTGTCGGAGACACTGAGAGTCTGGGTTCGAGCCCTGGGTCTGGGTGTCTCTCTCTCTCTCTCAGGGGGGTTAACGATGGCCATGTCAGAGACACTGAGAGTCTGGGTTCGAGTCCTGGGTCTAGGTGTCTCTGTCTCAAGGGGTTAACAATGGCCGTGTCAGAGACACTGAGAGTCTGGGTTCGAGCCCTGGGTCTGGGTGTCTCTCTGTGTCTCAGGGGGTTCTCAATGGCCGTGTCAGAGACAGTGAAAACCTGGGTTCGAGCCCTGGGTCTGGGTGTCTCTCTATCTCTCAGGGGGTTCACAATGGTCGTGTCAGAGACACTGAGAACCTGGGTTCGAGCCCTGGGTCTGGGTGTCTCTCTATCTCTCAGGGGGTTCACAATGGTCGTGTCAGAGACACTGAGAGCCTGGGTTCGAGCCCTGGGTCTGGGTGTCTCTCTCTCTCTCAGGGAGTTCACGATGGCCGTGTTAGATACACTGAGAACCTGGGTTCGAGCCCTGGGTCTGGGTGTCTCTCTGTGTCTCTGAATTGCTTCACGATGGCCGTGTCGGAGATACTGAGAGTCTGGGTTCGAGCCCTGGGTCTGGGTCTCTCTCTCTCTCAGGGGGTTCACAATGGCCGTGTCGGAGACAGTGAAATCCTGGGTTCGAGCCCTGGGTCTGGGTGTCTCTCTCTCTCTCAGGGGGTTCACAATGGCCGTGTCAGAGACACTGAAAACCTGGGTTCGAGCCCTGGGTCTGGGTGTCTCTCTCTCTCTCAGGGGGGTTCTTGATGGCCGTGTCAGAGACAGTGAAATCCTGGGTTCGAGCCCTGGGTCTGGGTGTCTCTCTCTCTCTCAGGGGGGTTCACAATGGTCGTGTCAGAGACACTGAGAACCTGGGTTCGATCCCTGGGTCTGGGTGTCTCTCTCAGGGGGGTTCACGATGGCCGTGTCAGAGACAGTGAAATCCTGGGTTCGAGCCCTGGGTCTGGGTGTCTCTCACTCTGTGTCTAAGTTGTGCGGCCTGTCCCCATGTAGACAAAGATCCCCCGTGTAGCCTTTACAGACTGTTGTGGCCAATGCTGTTTGCGAGCCCCATTGAAGGCAGGCACAGCACCACGCCCGGCCGCCTTTGTCTCCCCAGTGACGATGTTTACTACACCAAATTTTGATTTCAAGCTTTCGTGACTGCAGGCATTTATATTATTGGTTCTTTCGGTAAAGTCACCACGTTTGAAGGGAAACAATAAAAAAATAGAAAATAATATTTTTTAAATTACTTTATTGTTTCCCTTCTACGTGACTTTACCGAAAGAACCAAGAACGTAATACATCTACACCAGGTTACTCGTTTGAGGCTGAGTAAACCTAGGGGAGGAGGCCCAAGACCAGGTTCAGAGAATCTTCACCCGAGGTGCTGATCGCTGTGAGCTGGAATCGAACTCAGGTCGCAGGGTGCCTAGGTAGTAGGTAAGGGCTTGCCCTCATCTTACCTGAACGCAATTGACATTGTAGCGAATTATCCAGGCTGGATAAGGAAGATTTAAGGAAGGTACAACAACAACAACAGTTTGTGTGTACTGTGTGTGTGTGTGCTGTGTGTGTGTGCTGTGTGAGTGTACTGTGTGTGTGTGTACTGTGTGTGTGCTGTGTGTGTACTGTGTGAGTGTACTGTGTGTGTGTGTGTGCTGTGTGAGTGTACTGTGTGTGTGTACTGTGTGTGTGCTGTGTGTGTGTACTGTGTGTGTGTGCTGTGTGTGTGCTGTGTGTGTGTGTGTACTGTGTGTGTGGTGTGTGTGTGTACTGTGTGTGCTGTGTGTGTGTACTGTGTGTGTGTGCTGTGTGTGTACTGTGTGTGTGTGCTGTGTGTGTGCTGTGTGTGTGCTGTGTGTGTGTGTGTACTGTGTGTGTGGTGTGTGTGTGTACTGTGTGTGCTGTGTGTGTGTACTGTGTGTGTGTGCTGTGTGTGTACTGTGTGAGTGTACTGCGTGTGTGTACTGTGTGAGTGTACTGTGTGAGTGTGCTGTGTGTGTGTACTGTGTGTGTACTGTGTGTGTGTACTGTGTGTGTACTGTGTGTGTGCTGTGTGTGTGTACTGTGTGTGTACTGTGTGAGTGTACTGTGTGTGTGTACTGTGAGTGTACTGTGTGTGTGAGTGTACTGTGTGTGTGTACTGTGTGAGTGTACTGTGTGTGTACTGTGTGTGTGCTGTGTGTGTGTACTGTGTGAGTGTACTGTGTGTGTGTGTGTACTGTGTGTGTGCTGTGTGTGTGTACTGTGTGAGTGTACTGTGTGTGTACTGTGTGTGTGTGCTGTGTGTGTGTACTGTGTGTGTGGTGTGTGTGTGTACTGTGTGTGCTCTGTGTGTGTACTGTGTGTGTGTACTGTGTGTGTGTGTGCTGTGTGTGTGCTGTGTGTATGCTGTGTGTGTGTGTGTACTGTGTGTGTGTGCTGTGTGTGTGCTGTGTGTGTGTGTACTGTGTGTGTGTACTGTGTGTGTGTACTGTGTGTGTGTGAGTGTACTGTGTGTGTGTACTGTGTGAGTGTACTGTGTGTGTACTGTGTGTGTGTGCTGTGTGTGTGTACTGTGTGAGTGTACTGTGTGTGTGTGTACTGTGTGTGTGCTGTGTGTGTGGTGTGTGTGTGTGTTGTGTGTGTACTGTGTGTGTACTGTGTGAGTGTACTGTGTGAGTGTACTGTGTGTGTGCTGTGTGTGTGTACTGTGTGTGTACTGTGTGTGTGTACTGTGTGTGTGTGCTGTGTGTGTGTACTGTGTGTGTGTGTGCTGTGTGAGTGTACTGTGTGTGTACTGTGTGAGTGTACTGTGTGTGTACTGTGTGTGTGTGTGTGCTGTGTGTGTGTACTGTGTGAGTGTACTGTGTGTGTGTACTGTGTGTGTGTACTGTGTGTGTGCTGTGTGTGTGTACTGTGTGTGTGTGCTGTGTGTGTGCTGTGTGTGTACTGTGTGTGTGTACTGTGTGTGTGTGTGTGCTGTGTGTGTGCTGTGTGTATGCTGTGTGTGTGTACTGTGTGTGTGCTGTGTGTGTGTGTGTACTGTGTGTGTACTGTGTGTGTGTGCTGTGTGTGTGTACTGTGTGTGTGTACTGTGTGTGTGCTGTGTGTGTGTACTGTGTGTGTGTGCTGTGTGTGTGCTGTGTGTGTACTGTGTGTGTGTACTGTGTGAGTGTGTGTGTACTGTGTGTGTGTACTGTGTGAGTGTGTGTGTACTGTGTGTGCGTGCTGAGTGTGTGTGTACTGTGTGAGTGTACTGTGTGTGTGTGTAATGTGTGTACTGTGTGAGTGTACTGTGTGTGTGTGTACTGTGTGTAGTGTGTGTGTACTGTGTGTGTACAGTGTGTGTGTACTGTGTGTACTGTGTGTGTACTGTGTGCGTACTCACAGACGTGTACACGTGTACTGTGTGTACTGTGTGTGTAGTGTGTGTGTGTACTGTGTGTGTACTGTGTGTGTGTACTCACAGGCGTGTACACGTGTACTGTGTGTACTGTGTGTGTGTACTCACAGGCGTGTACACGTGCACTGTGTGTGTACTGTGTGTACTGTGTGTGTGTACTGTGTGTGTACTGTGTGTGTGTACTGTGTGTGTACTGTGTGTGTACTCACAGAAGTGTACACGTGTACTGTGTACTGTGTGTGTACAGTGCGTGTACGGTGCGTACTGCGTGTACTCTGTGTGTACAGTGTGCACAGTATGTACAGTGTGTACAGTGAGTGTGCTCACAGACGTGTACACGTGCACTGTGTGTACTGTGTGTACAGTGCGTGTATTGTGTGTACAGTGTATACAGTGCGTGTACTCACAGACGTGTACACGTGTACTGTGTGTGCACTGTGTGTACAGTGCGTACAGTGTGGGCGGTGCGTGTACTCGGACGTGCACACGTGTACTGTATGTACAGTGTGTACAGTGTGTACAGTGCGTGTACTCACAGACGTGTACACGTGTCCGTCATTGTTCATGGCGATGTACAGTCGCGACTTCACTCCCTGGATCGCCACGATGCGGAGTCCAACGGGGATCAGGTTGAAGAGTGCTGCACCACCACCATCATCAGCATCATCATCAACATCACCAGCATCATCATCAACATCATCAGCATCATCACCACCATCATCATCAGCATCAACACCATCATCATCAACATCATCATCATTACCATCATCATCAACATCATCACCATCATCAACACCATCATCATCATCAACATCATCACCACCATCATCATCAGCATCAACACCATCATCATCAACATCATCATCATTACCATCATCATCAACATCATCAGCATCATCACCATCATCATCATCAACACCATCACCATCATCGCCACCATCATCACCATCATCATCATCACTATCATCATCAACACCATCATCACCACCATCATCATCATCAACATCACCATCATCATCATCAACACCATCATCACCATCATCATCACCATCATCACCATCATCACCATCATCATCAACAACATCATCATCATCAGCATCATCAACATCACCATCATCATCATCAACACCATCATCACCATCATCACCATCATCATCACCACCATCATCAACATCATCATCACCATCACCACCATCATCACCATCATCATCACCATCATCACCATCACCACCATCATCATTACCATCATCATCATCAACATCATCAGCATCATCATCATCACCAACATCAGCATCATCAACATCATCAACACCATCATCACCATCATCACCACCATCATCACCATCACCACCATCATGATCATCACCACCATCACCATCATCACCATCACCACCATCACCATCACAACCATCACCACCATCATCATCACCACCATCACCATCATCACCATCACCACCATCACCACCATCATCATCACCATCATCATCACCAACATCACCATCATCACCACCATCATCATCACCATCATCATCACCACCATCATCATCATCATCACCATCACTACCATCATCACCACCATCATCATCACCACCATCACCACCATCACCATCACCACCATAACCATCATCACCATCATCATCACCACCATCACCATCATCACCATCATAATCATCACCATCACCACCATCACCATCATCATCAATACCATCATCACCATCATCACCATCATCATCACCACCATCATCATCATCACCACCATCATCATCATCATCACCACCATCACCACCATCATGATCATCACCACCATCACCATCATCACCATCACCACCATCACCATCACAACCATCACCACCATCATCATCATCACCACCATCACCATCATCACCATCACCACCATCACCACCATCATCATCATCACCATCATCATCACCAACATCACCATCATCACCACCATCATCATCACCATCATCATCACCACCATCATCATCATCACCATCACTACCATCATCACCACCATCATCATCACCACCATCACCACCATCACCACCATCACCACCATCACCATCATCACCATCATCATCACCACCATCACCATCATCACCATCATAATCATCACCATCACCACCATCACCATCATCACCATCATCACCATCATCATCAATACCATCATCACCATCACCACCATCACCATCATCATCACCACCATCATCATCATCACCACCATCATCATCATCATCACCACCATCACCACCATCATCACCATCATCACCAACATCACCATCATCACCATCACCACCATCACCACCATCATCATAATCACGATCACCACCATCATCACCATCATCATCACCGCCATCACCATCATCACCATCACCACCATCACCACCATCACCATCATCACCACCATCACCACCATCATCACCATCACCACCATCACCATCATCACCACCATCACCACCATCACCATCACCGCCATCACCACCATCACCGCCATCACCACCATCACCATCATCACCATCATCATCACCACCATCATCACCATTATCATCATCACCATCATCACCAACATCACCATCATCACCATCACCGCCATCACCACCATCATCATAATCACCATCACCACCATCATCATCACCACCATCACCACCATCACCACCACCATCATCACCATCAGCACCATCACCACCACCATCACCATTAGGGGGGGGGGGGGGGGGTGATGGGTGGGTAAGTGATGGGGTGGGTGAGTGGGTGGATGAGTGGGTGAGTGAGTGGGTGGATGAATGAGTGAGTGAATGAGTAAATGAGTGAATGAATGAAGGATTGAATGAGTGAATGGATGAAGGAGTGAATAAGTGAAATATAGGATTGAGTGAATGAGTGGGTGAATGAAAGAGTGAATGGATGAGTGAAAGCGTGAATGAGTGAATGAATGAAAAGGTGAATGAGTGAATGAATGAGTGGATGAGTGAGTGAATTAGTGAATACGTTAATGAGTGAGTGAATCAGTGAATGAAATAAAGAGTGAATGAGTGAATGAATGATGGAGTGAGTGAGTGAATGAGTGAATGAATGAAGGAGTAAGTGAGTGAGTGGATGAGTGAATGAGTGAGTGAATGGGTGAATGAATTAATGAAAGAGTGAATGAGTGATTGAATGGGTGAATAAGTGAGTGAGTGAATGAGTGAGTGAATGAGTGAGTGAATGAGTGAGTGAATGAGTGAGTGAAAGAGTGAACGAGTGAATGAATGGAAGAGTGAGTGAATGCGTGAATGAATGAAGTAGTGAGTGAATTAATGAGTGAGTGAATGAATGAGTGAATGAATGGGTGAATGAATGAGTGAAAGGGTGAATGGGTGAATGATTGAAAGAGTGAATGGGTGAATGAATGAGTGAATGAAGGAGTGAATTAGTGAACTAGCGAACGATTCAGTGCTCCCATGCCTCTTCTGAGTGTCCTGATAGCGACGAATGAGTGGATGAGTGAGTGAATGAGTGAATACGTTAATGAGTGAGTGAATGAGTGAATGAAATAAAGAGTGAATGAATGATGGAGTGAGTGAGTGAATGAAATAAAGAGTGAATGAATGATGGAGTGAGTGAATGAGTGAATGAATGAAGGAGTGAGTAAGTGAGTGAGTGGATAAGTGAATGAGTGAGTGAATGGGTGAATGAATTAATGAAAGAGTGAATGAGTGATTGAATGGGTGAATAAGTGAGTGAGTGAATGAGTGAGTGAATGAGTGAGTGAATGAGTGAGTGAAAGAGTGAACGAGTGAATGAATGGAAGAGTGAGTGAATGCATGAAGTAGTGAGTGAATTAATGAGTGAGTGAATGAATGAGTGAATGAATGAAGGAGTGAGTGAATGAATGAGTGAGTGAATGGGTGAATGAATGAGTGAAAGGGTGAATGGGTGAATGATTGAAAGAGTGAATGGGTGAATGAATGAGTGAATGAAGGAGTGAATTAGTGAACTAGCGAACGATTCAGTGCTCCCATGCCTCTTCTGAGTGTCCTGATAGCGACGTCAAGGGGGATGGGGGGCGGGGCTTGATGGGGTGGGCGGGGTGGAGGGCGGGGCTTGATGCGGTGGGCGGGGTGGTGGGCGGGACTTGGGGTGTCTTGGGCCGATGGGGGGGCGGGACTTGAGAGTGGTGGGGGGCGTGGGCTTGGGGGAGGGGGCGGGGCTTGATCCGCTTGGCTGACCCCGTGACATTCTCTCCGTCGCCATGGGAACGGCGCTGCTCCTCTGGACCGAGGGAGATGGAGGGGAGGGGTGATGGGGGTGATGGGAGGGGAGGGGTGATGGGGGTGATGGGGGTGATGGGTGGGGTGATGGGGGTGATGGGGGTGATGGGTGGGGTGATGGGGGTGATGGGTGGGGAGGGGTGATGGGGGTGATGGGTGGGGAGGGGTGATGGGGGTGATGGGGGGTGATGGGTGGGGTGATGGGGATGATGGGTGGGGAGGGGTGATGGGTGGGGAGGGGTGATGGGGGTGATGGGGGGTGATGGGGTGGGGTGATGGGGGTGATGGGAGGGGTGATGGGGTGATGGGTGATGGGGGTGATGGGTGGGGAGGGGTGATGGGGGTGATGGGGGGGTAGGGGGTGATGGGTGGGTGGGGTGATGAGGGGTGATGGGGGGGTGATGGGGAGGTGATGGGGTGGGTGATGGGTGGGCGAGATGGGGGAGAAGGGGTGATGGGGGGGGGGTGATGTGGGGGGGATGGGAGGGGTGATTGTGTGTGTGTTGTGTGTGTGGTGTGTGTGTGTGTGGTGTGTGTGGTGTGTGGTGAGTGTGGTGTGTGCGTGGTGTGTGTGGTATGTGTGTGAGTGGGTGGGTGGGTGAGTAGGTGTGTGGGTGAGTGGTTGAGTGGGAAAGTGGGTGGGCGTTTGAGTGGGTGCGTGAGTGAGTGGGTAAGTGAGTAGGTGAGTGAGTGGGTGAGTGACTGAGTGAGTGGGTGAGTGAATGAGTGAGTGGGTGAGTGATTGAGTGAGTGGATGAATGAGTGACTGAGTGAGTGGGTGAGTGAGTGGGTGAATGAGTGAGTGGGTAAGTGAGTGAGTAGGTGAGTGAGTGGGTGAGTTACTGAGTGAGGGAGTAAGTAGTTGAGTGAGTAAGTGAGTGACTGAGTGAGTGGGTGAGTGAGTGAGTGAGTGTCTGAGTGAGTGAGTGAGTGTCTGAGTGAGTGAGTGGGTGAGTGAGTGAGTGAGTGAAAGACTGAGTGAGTGAGTGGGTGAGTGAGTGAGTGACTGAGTGAGTGAGTAGGTGAGTGACTGAGTAAGTGAGTGGGTGAGTGAGTGGGTGAGTGAGTGAGTGAGTGACTGAGTTGGTGATTGAGTGAGTGGGTGAGTGAGTGACTGAGTGAGAGGGTGAGTGAGTGGATGAGTGATTGAGTGGGGGAGTGAGTGAGTGAGTGGGTGAGTGAGTGCGTGGGTGGGTGAGCGAGTGACTGAGTGAGTGAGTGGGTGATGGAGTGAGTGGGTGAGTGAGTGGATGAGTGAGTGAGTTAGTGGGTGAGTGAGTGGGTGAGTGAGTGAGTGGGTGAGTGAGTGGGTGAGTGAGTGGGTGGGTGAGTGAGTGAGTGGGTGGGTGAGTGAGTGACTACGTGACTGAGTGAGTGAGTAGGTGAGTGACTGAGTGAGTGGGTGAGTGAGTGACTGAGTGAGTGAGGGGGTGAGTGAGTGAGTGAGTGACTGAGTTAGTGATTGACTGAGTGGGCGAGTGAGTGACTGAGTGAGTGAGTGAGTGACTGAGTGAGTGAGTTAGTGACTTAGTGAGTGAGTGAGTGGATGAGTGAATGGGTGAGCGATTGAGTGGGTGAGTGAGTGAGTTAGTTGGTGAGTGTCTGAGTGAGTGACTGAATGAGTGAGTGACTGACTGAGTGAATGAGTGACTGAGTGAGTGAGTGGGTAAGTGAGTGAGTGACTGAGTGAGTGAGTGAGTGACTGAGTGAGTGAGTGAGTAGGTGAGTGACTGAGTGAGTGGGTAAGTGAGTGACTGAGTGACTGAGTGAGTGAGTAGGTGAGTGACTAAGTGAGTAGGTGAGTGACTGAGTGAGTGACTGAGTGGGTGAGTGAGTGACTGAGTGAGTGAGTAGGTGAGTAACTGAGTGATTGAGTGGGTGAGTGACTGAGTGACTGAGTGAGCGAGTGAATGACTGAGTGACTGAGTGAGTGAGTGGGTCAGTGAGTGGGTGAGTGACTGAGTGAGTGGTTGAGTGACTGAGTGACTGAGTGGCTGAGTGAGTGAGTGAGTGGGTGACTGAGTGGGTGACTGAGTGACTGACTGAGTGACTGAGTGAGTGACTGAGTGAGTGACTGAGTGACTGAGTGGGTGACTGAGTGACTGAGTGGGTGACTGAGTGGGTGACTGAGTGAGTGAGTGAGTGACTGAGTGACTGAGTGAGTGAGTGAGTGACTGAGTGAGTGACTGAATGACTGACTGAGTGACTGAGTGAGTGACTGAGTGACTGACTGACTGAGTGACTGAGTGAGTGACTGAGTGGGTGACTGAGTGGGTGACTGAGTGAATGAGTGAGTGACTGAGTGAGTGACTAAGTGACTGAGTGAGTGAGTGACTGAGTGGGTGACTGAGTGACAGTGAGTGAATGAGTGAGTGACTGAGTGACTGAGTGACTGAGTGACTGAGTGAGTGAGTGACTGAGTGACTGACTGACTGAGTGACTGAGTGAGTGACTGAGTGGGTGACTGAGTCAGTGACTGAGTAACTGAGTGACTGACTGAGTGACTGAGTGAGTGACTGAGTGAGTGAGTGACTGAGTGACTGACTGAGTGACTGAGTGAGTGAGTGACTGAGTGACTGACTGAGTGAATGACTGAGTGACTGAGTGAGTGACTGAGTGAGTGACTGAGTGACTGAGTGACTGAGTGAGTGACTGAGTGAGTGAGTGACTGAGTGACTGAGTGAGTGACTGAGTGACTGACTGAGTGACTGAGTGGGTGACTGAGTGAGTGAGTGACTGAGTGACTGAGTGACTGAGTGAGTGACTGAGTGACTGACTGAGTGACTGGGTGACTGAGTGACTGAGTGAGTGACTGAGTGACTGACTGACTGAGTGACTGAGTGACTGACTGAGTGGGTGACTGAGTCAGTTACTGAGTAACTGAGTGACTGAGTGACGGACTGAGTGAGTGAGTGACTGAGTGACTGAGTGAGTGACTGAGTGAGAGAGTGAGTGACTGAGTGAGTGACTGAGTGACTGAGTGAGTGACTGAGTGAGTGACTGAGTGACTGGGTGACTGAGTGACTGAGTGAGTGACTGAGTGACTGAGTGAGTGATTGAGTGACTGAGTGACTGACTTACTGAGTGACTGAGTGACTGAGTGACTGACTGAGTGGGTGACTGAGTCAGTGACTGAGTAACTGAGTGACTGAGTGACTGACTGAGGGACTGAGTGAGTGACTGAGTGACTGAGTGACTGAGTGAGTGACTGAGTGAGTGACTGAGTAAGTGAGTGACTGAGTGACTGAGAGAGTGACTGAGTGAGTGACTGAGTGAGTGACGGACTGACTGAGTGAGTGACTGAGTGAGTGAGTGACTGAGTGACTGAGAGAGTGACTGAGTGAGTGACTGACTGACTGAGTGAGTGACTGAGTGAGTGACTGACTGAGTGACTGAGAGAGTGACTGAGTGAGTGACTGAGTGAGTGACTGACTGACTGAGTGAGTGACTGAGTGAGTGAGTGACTGAGTGACTGAGAGAGTGACTGAGTGAGTGACTGAGTGAGTGAGTGACTGAGTGACTGAGTGAGTGACTGAGTGAGTGACTGAGTGACTGAGTGAGTGACTGACTGAGTGAGTGACTGAGTGACTGAGTGAGTGACTGAGTGACTGAGTAAGTGACTGAGTGAGTGGCTGAGTGAGCCTCACTGACCGTAGCTGCAGGCCTCTTCCGTGGTGCCACTGACCACTCCGTCGGGTAGCGACTGTAAGTAGAAGCCCTGGCGTGAGTAGAGACGCGTGATGATGCCCTTGAGCTGGGGCTCTGCGGGGCACACGTGGGGCACGGGGTCACGCAGGGGTCACTCAGGGGTCACTCACCCAGGGGTCACCCAGGGGTCACTCACCCAGGGGTCACTCATCACAGAGACCCATAGACTCTCCACACAGACACCCACAGACTCACCACACAAAGACCCACAGACTCATCACACAGAGACCCACAGATTCATCACACAGAGACCCATAGACTCACCACACAGAGACCCATAGACTCACCACACAGAGACCCATAGACTCACCACACAGAGACCCATAGACTCACCACACAGAGACCCATAGACTCATCACACAGAGACCCACAGATTCATCACACAGAGACCCACAGACTCATCACACAGAGACCCACAGACTCATCACACAGAGACCCACAGACTCATCACACAGAGACCCATAGACTCATCACACAGAGACCCACAAACTCACACACAGAGACCCACAGACTCACCGCACAGAGACCCACAGATTCATCACACAGAGACCCACAGACTCATCACACAGAGACCCACAGACTCACACACAGAGACCCACAGACTCATCACACAGAGACCCATAGACTCTCCACACAGAGACCCACAGACTCATCACACAGAGACCGACAGACTCATCACACAGAGACCCATAGACTCATCACACAGAGACCCACAGACTCACCACACAGAGCCCCACAGACTCATCACACAGAGACCCATAGACTCTCCACACAGAGACCCACAGACTCATCACACAGAGACCGACAGACTCATCACACAGAGACCCACAGACTCATCACACAGAGACCCACAGACTCATCACACAGAGACCCACAGACTCATCACACAGAGACCCACAGACTCTCACAGAGACCCACAAACTCACCACACAGAGACCCACAGACTCATCACACAGAGACCCACAGACTCATCACACAGAGACCCACAGACTCATCACACAGAGACCCACAGACTCATCACCCAGAGACCCATAGACTCATCACACAGAGACCCACAGACTCATCACACAGAGACCCACAGACTCATCACAGAGACCCACAGACTCATCACACAGAGACCCACAGACTCACTCACACAGAGACCCACAGACTCACCACACAGAGACCCACAGACTCATCACAGAGACCCACAGACTCATCACACAGAGACCCACAGACTCATCACACAGAGACCCATAGCCTCATCACACAGAGACTCACAGACTCATCACACAGAAACCCACAGACTCACCACACAGAGACCCACAGACTCATCACACAGAGACCCACAGACTCACCACACAGAGACCCATAGACTCACCGCACAGAGACCCACAGACTCACCACACAGAGACCCACAGACTCATCACACAGAGACCCACAGACTCACCACACAGAGACCCACAGACTCACCACACAGAGGCCCACAGACTTACCACACAGAGACCCACAGACTCATCACAGAGACCCACAGACTCACCGCACAGAGACCCACAGACTCACCACACAGAGTCCCACAGACTTACCACACAGAGACCCACAGACTCATCACAGAGACCCACAGACTCACCGCACAGAGACCCATAGACTCATCACACAGAGACTCACAGAGTCACCACACAGAGACCCATAGACTCATCACACAGAGACCCACAGACTCATCACACAGAGACCCACAGACTCTCACACAGAGACCCACAGACTCACCACACAGAGACCCACAGACTCACCTCACAGAGACACACAGACTAACAACACAGAGACCCACAGACTCACCACACAGAGACCCACAGATTCATCACACAGAGACCCATAGACTCACCACACAGAGACCCATAGACTCACCACACAGAGACCCATAGACTCACCACACAGAGACCCATAGACTCACCACACAGAGACCCATAGACTCATCACACAGAGACCCACAGATTCATCACACAGAGACCCACAGACTCATCACACAGAGACCCACAGACTCATCACACAGAGACCCACAGACTCATCACACAGAGACCCACAGACTCGCCACACAGAGACCCACAGACTCATCACACAGAGACCCATAGACTCATCACACAGAGACCCACAGACTCATCACACAGAGACCCACAGACTCATCACAGAGACCCACAGACTCATCACACAGAGACCCACAGACTCACTCACACAGAGACCCACAGACTCACCACACAGAAACCCACAGACTCATCACAGAGACCCACAGACTCATCACACAGAGACCCACAGACTCATCACACAGAGACCCATAGCCTCATCACACAGAGACTCACAGACTCATCACACAGAAACCCACAGACTCACCACACAGAGACCCACAGACTCATCACACAGAGACCCACAGACTCACCACACAGAGACCCATAGACTCACCGCACAGAGACCCATAGACTCATCACACAGAGACCCACAGAGTCACCACACAGAGACCCATAGACTCATCACACAGAGACCCACAGACTCATCACACAGAGACCCACAGACTCTCACACAGAGACCCACAGACTCACCACACAGAGACCCACAGACTCACCTCACAGAGACACACAGACTAACAACACAGAGACCCACAGACTCACCACACAGAGACCCACAGACTCATCACACAGAGACCCACAGACTCACCACACAGAGACCCACAGACTCACCACGCAGAGACCCACAGACTCATCACACAGAGACCCACAGACTCATCACACAGAGACCCACAGACTCTCACAGAGACACATAGACTCATCACACAGAGACCCACAGACTCATCACACAGAGACCCACAGACTCACCACACAGAGACCCACAGACTCACCACACAGAGACCCACAGACTCATCACACAGAGGCCCACAGACTCACCACACAGAGACCCACAGACTCACCACACAGAGACCCACAGACTCACCACGCAGAGACCCACAGACTCATCACACAGAGACCCACAGACTCATCACACAGAGACCCACAGACTCTCACAGAGACACATAGACTCATCACACAGAGACCCACAGACTCATCATACAGAGACCCACAGACTCACCACACAGAGACCCACAGACTCACCACACAGAGACCCACAGACTCATCACACAGAGGCCCACAGACTCACCACACAGAGACCCACAGACTCACCACACAGAGACCCACAGACTTACCACACAGAGACCCACAGACTCATCACAGAGACCCACAGACTCACCGCACAGAGACCCATAGACTCATCACACAGAGACCCACAGAGTCACCACACAGAGACCCATAGACTCATCACACAGAGACCCACAGACTCACCACACAGAGACCCACAGACTCATCACACAGAGACCCATAGACTCATCACACAGAGACCCACAGATTCATCACACAGAGACCCACAGACTCTCACACAGAGACCCACAGACTCACCACACAGAGACCCACAGACTCACCTCACAGAGACACACAGACTCATCACACAGAGACCCACAGACTCACCACACAGAGACACACAGACAAGGGATAGAGACCCACAGACTCATCACACAGAGACCCACAGACTCATCACACAGAGACCCACAGACTCACCACACAGAGACCCACAGACTCATCACACAGAGACCCACAGCCTCTCACACAGAGACACACAGACTCACCACACAGAGACCCACAGACTCATCACACAGAGACCCACAGCCACTCACACAGAGACACACAGACTCACCACACAGAGACCCATAGACTCACCACACAGAGACCCACAGACTCATCACACAGAGACCCACAGCCTCTCACACAGAGACACACAGACTCACCACACAGAGACCCATAGACTCATCACACAGAGACCCACAGACTCTCACAGAGACCCACAGACTCATCACACAGAGACCCACAGACTCATCACACAGAGACTCACAGACTCATCACAGAGACCCACAGACTCACCACACAGAGACCCACAGACTCATCACACAGAGACCCACAGACTCACCACACAGAGACCCATAGACTCATCACACAGAGACCCACAGAGTCACCACAGAGACCCATAGACTCATCACACAGAGACCCACAGACTCACCACACAGAGACCCACAGACTCATCACACAGAGACCCATAGACTCATCACACAGAGACCCACAGACTCACCACACAGAGACCCACAGACTCACCACACAGAGACCCACAGACTCACCACACAGAGACCCACAGACTCATCACACAGAGGCCCACAGACTCACCACACAGAGACCCACAGACTCACCACACAGAGACCCACAGACTTACCACACAGAGACCCACAGACTCATCACAGAGACCCACAGACTCACCGCACAGAGACCCATAGACTCATCACACAGAGACCCACAGAGTCACCACACAGAGACCCATAGACTCATCACACAGAGACCCACAGACTCACCACACAGAGACCCACAGACTCACCACACAGAGACCCATAGACTCATCACACAGAGACCCACAGATTCATCACACAGAGACCCACAGACTCTCACACAGAGACCCACAGACTCACCACACAGAGACCCACAGACTCACCTCACAGAGACACACAGACTCATCACACAGAGACCCACAGACTCACCACACAGAGACACACAGACAAGGGATAGAGACCCACAGACTCATCACACAGAGACCCACAGACTCATCACACAGAGACCCACAGACTCACCACACAGAGACCCACAGACTCATCACACAGAGACCCACAGCCTCTCACACAGAGACACACAGACTCACCACACAGAGACCCACAGACTCATCACACAGAGACCCACAGCCACTCACACAGAGACACACAGACTCACCACACAGAGACCCATAGACTCACCACACAGAGACCCACAGACTCATCACACAGAGACCCACAGCCTCTCACACAGAGACACACAGACTCACCACACAGAGACCCATAGACTCATCACACAGAGACCCACAGACTCTCACAGAGACCCACAGACTCATCACACAGAGACCCACAGACTCATCACACAGAG